GGCACTGGAGGCTGATAACCTACTTGCCTATTATATTTAAAAATGATGATGAAACAGATTCAGAAATCCGAGGCCAAGACTTAAAGAGGTTTTAGCGCCACTGTTTTTCTTTTTTTAATATTAATTAAATTTATACCTACTTATTTATTAGTCGCAGCAAAAAATATTCTATTCAAAATGGCCACCTTTGGCTTTACAGGTCTTTAATCTTTGACGACTCATTGGTCTAGTGGTTAGTACCCCTGACTGCGAATCCATGGGTCCCGGGTTCGATTCCCGGCTGAGACGAACATCGATGTGATGAGCATTTGGTGTTGTGCTTAGGTTTTGGGTGTTTAATTATGTATTTATATGTCTATCTATCTATAATATGTATGTATATCCGTTGCCTAGTACCCATAACACAAGTTTCACCAGCTTAGCATGGGACTAGGTCAATTGGTGTGAATTGTCTTTAAAAAAAAAACAGTTTGGCCACGAATCTATGGATCTACGCACTGTTTCCAAGGGAAGTTTCGCCACTGCTTGCTCCAAAGATTTTTTAAGAGACTCAATGTCGCCGTGTTGTTTAAAGCAGGCCATGTCCTCTAAACCTGACCATAACACACAGCTCGTATAGAGTTCGGAAAGTTGGTTTCAAGTCAGGCTTGAGTTCGTGCTTTGTGACCAGGTGCAGAATCCTGCTGGAACCCACGGTATAATGGGTCGACGAATTCTGGCTTTAACAGCATTACCATTGTAGTTCTAAAAGCACGCGGTCAATCTTTTCTGGTCTTCAACAGACTGTAATTCGGTCACCACATTTTAAAATGCACCAAGTACCATTGAAACAGTTCAGAAACGTTTCCTTAGAAAGCTTTGCAATTGTCTACACTTGCGTGGTCTATTGAAAACGTACGAGGCTCGTTTAGACTATTTCAAGTTAAATACTCATTACAAAAATATATATTACAAAAGTAACAATTGAATAGGAAAGAATATGGTGTTCATGGGATCGGGGAGTGTGTGCCATGACTTAATGGCGGAGATCCTATAAGTTGTCAATGTCAATCTATCAGTAGTGCGTTGGACTGTTCTTTATCAATTGCTCTATGACCGGTGCATGTGCCGGACGTCGGCACTTATTTTAAAATCAACAAAATGGACGACAGCGATAACCACGTCATTAACAATCTCTGCCAAATTGTGCTAACGCTTTTTTTTACAAATAAGGGGTAATTTTGTAATAAGCTTTTAATTTTTGAAGTTGTACTTCTTTAGGCGCGTTATGAAAAATTGATGAGAGTGAAATTTTACGATTGCGCGCGCACCTATGACACAAAATTGGCAGTGTGATATAGCGTGCGCGAGCGAGATGGGAATAAGACAAACTACAAGTAAAAAGAAATAGAATATGCGTGAAGCTAACTTCACGCATATTCTAGCTTAGCAGCTTAACAAGAATTTTGAATGACCATGACAATTGACATCTGACAATGACATTTACCTTTTAAACAAATATAGGAGTTTTAATTATTGTTTAAAATTAATAATTATATACCTAGTTATTTTCATTATACAAAATATTTGTGAAATAATATAAAATATTTGTGAAAAAACTGTGCTAACCTTCCTGAGTGCTTCAATACAATTGAGGTTAACTATCCGTATGTATTATCGAGTATTATTGTTGATTAAAACTGAAACATGAACCATTATTCATTGCTTTTGTTTATTGCGTTTGTTACAGCAACTTTTTAGAAATATTCTACGACCCTATTGATATATAGGGTCGTAGAATATTTCATCAGATTTAATCTAGCAAATATAAGGACAAGAGACAAAAAACAATTGATGAATCAGTGGAAGTGCTGATGATAATGTGGTCATTTTTTTGAGATGCAGGTACTTATTAAAATGTTTACTTCTCTGTTATATCGCTCCAAGCCTTCATTTTCTCCTTATTAGTATTCGTGCTTAAATCTTTGTTCTCAATTATTGATATATAGGGTCGTAGAATATTTCATCAGATTTAATCTAGCAAATATAAGGACAAGAGACAAAAAACAATTGATGAATCAGTGGAAGTGCACTAAATTGAATACAAAAAAAGAGTTGTCATCTTATCGCCGTGAAACATCAAAAACTGGAGGTGGAACAAAGCCACCATCACCTTCTCGAGACACAATGGTTTGAAGTAGATTTCAATGAATTTGATTGTGATGGTGTCGAGGTAGGAATGTTAATTATAAATATGATGTATGGTGATGTTCAAGGTTCAACCTTTCAAGCATAGGCATATGCTTACAACATTACTTTATTCCCCTACAGGGTAGTTAGAGATATTGTAATACCTCAAAACATCCATGTTGCACTTGTAGTACCGAAACTCTGTCCTGCCAGAAGTGAGCCCATTCCCACTTATAATGGACAGTGGGTATAATACACCTTAATACCTGAGTGCGAACCACTCACCATGATACTTAAATTAATAGATGTTATTTATATATTTCAGGTTATTACAAATAAAATCATTTTGGAAATAATTGATATCCCAAAAGCAAATAAAGCCAACAATGACAAGGTAATAAATCAGTTTTGACATAACTTGAATACTAAAAAAGCCAAACAAAGGTGTGCACAACAGTGACAACATAACTTAACAATTTCATTATTTTGTAGGATTAAAGAAAGGTTAAAGAAAATCATGTCGAACTGAACAACAAGAATCCCCAAACAACTCCAAAGAAACCTACAAGGAAGACACCGGTATTATATTTAAATTATCTCTATCTCTAAATAGAATAAAAGAAAGTTGCTATCCAGGTCTGTAGCATGTGCTACAAATTATATTATTAACACATTTATATAATTATATTAATATAAATGTGTTAAAAATTTATAATATGAATTATAAAAATTTTTAAGTTTTGCATGGACAGAGCTTAAATTAATATTCTCTTATTTGTTGCAGAAAGCAAGTAGTTTTGGAGAAGCCTCGTAGATGCACAACCAAGTAATGATTAATTTAAAATTACAAACCGAAATTCTGATGAAGACATTAGAGTCACTTAAAAATAAATAGTATAATGAAATAAAAATGTTTTAAAGATAAATAGTGTTTTATTTGTTTAATGTAAGAGAATAATAATAAATATTTATTTAATTAATTTTTCAAATGTAAACTGAACTTTATTGACTTTAATGACTCCTTTTCCAGTCTTTGATTATTTAATTGTAATTAATTATTTGCATGCAATCAAAAACTATTTTTAATAATGCCAAAGAAGTATAACTTCTTACGCGCGTACATAAGTACACGCACCCTTTTTTTTTTGCAGATCCTCAACTACAGTTCCCAGGGATTTGGCGCGATGCATTAACCGCCAGTGTTAATATAAAGTGCGGGCCGAATTGGAGGGCTTTGACGATATGACGCTACGAAACCACAGAGAATAATCATTAGTATTCAAAATTATGTCCGTACTGTGCAAATTGTCAATTACAAATCGATACTGAAATAAAACAATAAATAAGCGCGTATTCTTTATTTGCTAATGACATTGTAAAAAAGAAAAAATATCTAAATATAATTGTAAAAAATCTGACGTTTCGCGGTGACACTAAATGTAAAATTAGAAGCATTAATATCGTAGATAGAGTATAGAACTAGATGAGCTTCTAAAATAACAATAATAAGTAAAGTGAGAAGGCATTAACATGAAATACAGTTTTTCTGTCTCTATTTGCGTATCGGGTTTTATTTGTTTACCACCGAGCCCTTGGTTGTAAACAAGTTTTCACCGCTTACTGATAAATCTGTGAAACCCAAGTCAAACCCATATTTTAAGATTTTATCCTTATAAGAGGTGTATTTAAAGTGTCAGTCATTGTGAATTGTTGCATAATTGGCTGTAAAAGCTATAGTCAACGTAAAGAACCAAACATAACCTTTCATCGGTAAGTAGTTTATTTTGTCACGACTCAGTAACTTTGTTCATTATTCATTCGAATGTGTATTTTGGTCAATAATAAGCAATCTTCAATGAATTAAAACTGTAAATACGACATATTATGTCGATCATTCGCTATCTCACACGCTGTACGCCGATGCCTGGTCTATACCATAGTCCGTCTACGTTATTTTAGAAGCTCATCTAGTTCTATACTCTATCTACGCTAAATATAATTGTAAAAAATCTGACGTTTCGCGTTGACATGTGAAACGTCACGATATTTACATTTGACGGATTAGTATGGATGGAGCAATCTAAAAGTAATCTTTGGTTTATTGTAGCTTAGTTTTTATTCGTGTGTTTGAGTATGTTGAGTTCTGTAATTATTTTTTGCTACATATTCTCATAACCCGGGCACTATAACTTGCATATGTCGAAATCCCATGCGTTTTTGACAACCAGAGTCACAGGAGATCCACACATTCGACGAGGTGATATGGAGGGAAGTATCTCCTCGCCACCTCTCCGCTTTTTGTCGGTTTTAGGAGAGTCAAAAGACGCGAGTGGGCGAGGTGAGAGAATCAACCACTCTCGAGCTTTCTCACTTTGTGTTATGTACCTACACGCGTTAGATATTATACTTCTTTGGCGAAGATAAAAATCTTTACAAAAATTGTATTCTACGTTTGTAGAAAAAACGACACTCACAATAGAAAAAAGGTATTTAATAAATTGATTTGATTTTCTTATTTGGTGATTACGTCAACAGTAATTATTTACTTATTTGCAAATTTTACCCACACATTGTCTATGCTTGAAGACGAAATTCATTTCCGAGGATTCCTACAAAAATTAATACGTTTATGTACTATTATTTTTAAGAGCTTTTCTTACTTTTGCTGACAAGAGGAGTGGGGGGGCTGCAACTTGCATCCAGATTAAAACTCACCAACGTGCGTGCGTACCAACGCACAAATAATAAATTAGTTAATAAATTGAAAGTTATCAGGTTATGACCCCATCATATCGCATAGACCGTGGCTAGTTGATATGTAACTCATATTTTTAAGCGAAGAACGGAACGTCAAGTTTTTCATCAGCAAATTTATTAGTGATCCATTGAATCATTGTCGCTACGTTGACGTACGCAGCAGGTAGCACTGTACCACATTCGACGCCAAATGCAACCATTCCGTAAACTGAGTAACGGGGTGGGGCGCCAGCGCTCTGAAATTTTTTATTTTTATTTAATTATTGAGAAAGATTTACAGTTCATAACTTACTTACTAAATATAAAGTTATTTTTATTAAACAAATCGTTACATATAATTAAGTACTTAATAATTAAATGGATTAAATAAATCAGTGGCGCTACAAGCTTTTTAGGTCTGGGCCTCAGATATCTGTTTTATGATCATTTGTCGAGCTAATACGCAAGTATCATGATCTGAGGTGATCAGCCTTCTGTGTCTGACACACGCCGTCGACTTTTTGGGAAGACATGTCGGTTTCCTCACGATGTTTTTCCATTGGTGCACAGCCGGGGATCGAACCTACGACCTCAGGTATGAGGGTCGCTCGCTGATGCCACTAGGCCAACTGCTCTGTTTAATGGGCACAAAAAAAGTCTATTGGTCCACATAAATATTGCAGTAATTGCACAACCAAACACTGTTTTGATAATTATTTTTTTTTTTTACCGGATTGAAGTTATGTATTTACAATTGCGTGCGTGGTCACGGTGACTGAAGACAAAAGGTGTTTAATGTCAAAAAGTATCACAGCTGTAGAAAAAGTTGCTTATCTGTATTTGTTTCCCTGGAGTTGCTATCGACTAAAAGATGGAGGGGTTTGGCAAAAATGGCTCACGGTGTCCTCTATTTTCGCGGATTTTTTATCTTGAGATTTTAAGTTGGATATTATTGGATCCCAGGTGTTTGACAATTTTAGGCCGTCTTCTCTATTGAAATTGGGGTGTTTTTTTATTTCAATGGCTTCGCGTACCAATCTTGCGAAGAATCTTTTTTCTTTCGCAAGTACTTTCGGTTGGTCAAAGCGTATGTAGTGATTAGGCCTATCTGGTATGTGTTCACAGACTGCTGATTTTGTTAGACACACTGATTTTCTTACATATTTTCCTGGAACCTACGACAGTTTTACTTACCGAAGTGCGACAAGCAAGTGAGGAGCCTCCATCGCCGGTGCATGTGTCAAAGTTCTTCGTTCCTCCAGCACATATCAATGAGTTGTGCAACCTGAAGTTACTTCCAAGCCGCGAACCTTGCAAGGCATATTCACAAGTTCCGTGGTCAACTATTGGTAATGGCACCTATAACAAATTAATTGCTGCAAATTGCGATTAGCAAATTTCAAGTCGAAAATGTAATCCGTTGTCAAACTTCAAAGTCAAAAACATACTATAATATGTCATATTTTAACGCCGATAAAGAAGTTTGACTTTGAAAATGTAATCCGTTGTCAAACTTCAAAGTCAAAAACATACTATATGTCATATTTTAACGCCGATAAAGAAGTTTGACTTCAAAAAGCAACATGGCGCGTAACGGAAAAATGTGACGCGTAACGCAAAAATTTTACACTTAATTTTTTTCCAACCCCGATAAAGAAGTTTCACTTCAAAAAAACGTGTTAGAAGTTATACTTCTTTGGCGTAACAAATAACAAGTACAAGTATTTATACTACGAGTGATATTTCGTAAATTCTCTTTACCAAATTTTAATTTTAGTAATAGATTTTTTATAAGGTAATTCACCCTTCTCACTCTCTCCCAATCGGTCTCAATCACTCTCTCCCTTTTTTTCGACAAAAACGCTGCACATCTTCGTGACGTTCCGTAAAAGTTTTACCCTCATGCGCCTAAAGAAGTTTCACTTCAAAAACGTTGTGTACACGCGTTAGAAGTATTTGGCGTAACAAGATAATAAATTGTGCGTGTACTAGGTGTACACACGTAAGAAGTGAAACTTCTTTATGATCTTATTTTTCGAAAAATGATCTACTATATGCAACTTAACAGAAATTCGTTAAATTAGATAAAGTTTAACAAAAGGCTTTTATTATCATAGACATGAATACAAATATTTCATTTTACCTTATTAATACGAAGATTATTATTATAGAATTTCATTAATTGTAATAGAATTATTACTATCATTGAAAAACGTGACGATTTGCTACAAAATGTCTCCCATACGTCGATAAAGAAGTTTCATTCCAACGCCGATAAAGAAGTTTGACTTCAAAAAGCAACATGGCGCGTAACCGAAAAATGTGACGCGTAACGAAATAATGTTACACTAAATTTTTTTCCAACCTCGATAAAGAAGTTTCACTTCAAAAATCTTTTTAAATATTTTATTCTACGTTTGTAGAAAATACGACACTAACAATAGAAAAAACTAATATATTGACCATAGCTTTAGGGTTTTGTGACGGTGTGCCTTGCTGTGCTATGATGTCATGTATGCCTTGTATGTCAAGAAACCATTTATTTTTTATTATTAGACTCTTATGTCATTTAGCTGGTATAATCATGAAGTAAGGGCTTATTTTGGTTACTAACAAATAAGTCCTTTTTACCATCTAAAACTATGGACAAAAACACAATAATATTTTAATGATTATTAACGAAATGAAACATTTTTTTAGTTTTCGGTAATGTTTGGTTCTCTGGACATACGAGGTTATCATTCTACAGCGAGGATGTGCTGTTTTCCATACATGGGGAAGATGATAAAGAATTTGTAAACAATTGTAAATGGCAGTGAGAGATCATAACACAATTTTGCGAAGTGCGACGGAATTTCTCCTTTATGTGGATTTAACGATTTTAGAATTATGCTTGTTTTCGTGACGTGACTTCTATACTGTTAAGGTAATTGGCTGATTAATAAGAAAAGTTATTTTACTCTAACCATCGAGTATCAATCAGAGTGCAATATCTCTAGTAGTTATTTATATTTACAGTTGTTTTTGTAACCGCACTATATTATTTTTATTCCATTTAGCTCATAAGGACAAAGAAACAAGGGCAGATAGAAGAGCGACGGAAGCGATTAAAAGGATAGCTGGAAAAAAATTGGATGATGATGGATAGAAAAGAAAGTGGAAGCAGTTGGAGGAAGCCTTCTACCGGACGGAGGCTGCATCTGCAATATACTTAATTGTATATTATAGTCAAAGTTGAGGCAAACTAACTTTATTCATATAAGTAAACAAGTACACTTATGAACGTCAGAAAAAAAGTTAAATCAATTCTGAATTTACATTTATTACAAGACCGTAATTCAATTGCGTTGAGCGGGCAAGAAGAACTGGCAAGAAACTTTCCGCCACTCTTTAATCGCTAAGTTTTGAGTCATACAAATTGTTTGAACTGAAAATAATAAATCCTTATTATTATTAATGTTATTTTTAATTTTGAACTTACCTTCTTTAACCAAACAGCGTATTTGTCATTATTATTGAAGTCCTTACCCCAACCCATGCTAAAACAATTGGCATCCATTTTAGGCTCATTGAAGCTCAAACAGGCTATCCCCACATGGGGATCGGTTAGATCGAATGGGGACGTTGTTATTAATAGAGCAACGTCATTCGCTGACGTTTCTGAAAAATATCACAAACTCATGATATAACAGTCTCTTGTATTTTATAAAGTACGTACAATAGCTTTTGTTAACATGGTCATTAATTATTAAATTAATGACCATGCGCCGTACCGGTTTTAGGCCGCTCACTCACCGGGATGCCATGGCGACATTGCTACGTATCCAAACACAACAAACACATACAAATTTGTATTGAAATGTATGGCAGTCAACTCACTTGGCGAAGGTTCCACAAAGGAAAAATGAAGAAGAAAGTTTCAGAAAGGTCGCCAAACCAAGCCATCCATGGCATCCCGCTGAGTTAGCGGCCTCTTGGTCTCATTAAGTATGGGAATCTTGCTCAGATTTCATCGCTAAACAATTAATTTATTTATTATCTAATATATGTGTCACAATGTTCGTTCCCATACTCCTCCGAAACGGCTCGACCGTTTCTTATGAAATTTTTAATGTATATTCAGTAAGTCTGAGAATCGGCTATTATCTATCATTCAAACCCCTAAGCAATAAGGGGTGTCCAATATTTTTTTTTATTTTTTTAGACATTTTTTTGTTTTTATTTTATATAATACATCAATTTTTATTATAGTAGATATTTATTTTTATTGAACTATAAAAAAGTTTCCTAGAAATAATATACATGGCAAAACAACGTTTGCCATGTCAGCTAGTAATATATAAAAAAATCCAAGATGTTGCAGTAGCTGTCTGAAATTTGGCCTCAACGTCTCTTGTTCTCACGATGCCGCAGTATTGTGCTAAATATATCGAAAAATGCAGTAAAAAAAATATTTTTGTTACTACTAATTTCTACTGCATTTTAAGTTATTCTTTTCAAGAAGATTCTAACCAAATATTTTAGAAAACTGACTTGAAAATCAGTCGTTCGGAAGTAATGTACATTTCGGCAATTCTTATCTAAAAATAAATGTACTTACTCGAAGAAAACTGTTCATGAACAAGGATTTTATTGACGTTTCTGTCTTGGTGGGGATAAATTTCGTTCGTATTCTGTGTGTCCCATTCGCCAAGACGGCATTTCATCTGTAAATGTAAGAATACAAATGGTCCATTAAATATTGTTATAACATATTAATTAACAATTGTTTCTTATTGATATCAGTAAACACAATAAGTATTATGTAATAAGCTGATTATCCCCCCTCTTGCCAGAAAAAGTAATCAAAGCTCTCAAGAATAATAGTACATAAACGTATAATTTTTTGTAGGAATCCTCGCAAATGAATTTTGTTTTCAAGCATAGACAATGCGTGGGTAATATGTGTAAAAAAGTAAATAATTACTGGTGACGTATTCACCAAATAAGAAAATCAAAGACCCACCACCCCCTAAACGGCCCCTAATTGCCTATCGCTAACTCGACGCAGTGTCTCGGTTACGGGGCCTCCGACAGCAATCAGCTTTTTGCTATTATTGCTGCATTTAGGTGCATTTAATGTGATCCTGCTCCAACTCCTATTTTTATTTATTTTGCTCGTAAATAATCCAATTCCACTACATCCTTTAGTTAATTATTAAGATCCTGGGAAAAAGGCGTGTTGGTAGAAGGAAAACTCGTGAACGTGACGATGGACGGGTATTGCGACTTCAGAATAGTTGCTGCACTTGGAATTTGACTAGACATGCTCCATGACTGACAGCCAAATTCCAGATGGAGAGACAAGAAAATCGAAATAATTTTTATGATAACACGCATAGCACTAGCTCTAGCACTTAACACAATGTTATGGAAACTCGTACTTACCAATGACGGGTCGTAATTAATAGCCTTGAGTTTATGAGCGACCGTCATCACCACCGAATGGTGGATCAGAGTTCCACCTCCCAAGTAATCCTTTGGATCCCATCCCTGGTTCTGACTGACTTCCCTAGAGTAAGTATATTTTTTTGTATTAATTGTCTTTGGTTATCGAGTATACATTAATTTTTGAAGTTCTTTAGGCGCGTTATGAAAAATTGATGAGAGTGAAATTTTACGATGCGCCTGAGACACAAAGTTGTCAGTGTGATTATAGCGTGCGCGAGCGAGATGGGAATAAGACAATCTACAAGTAAAAAGAAATAGAATATGCGTGAAGTTAGCAGCTATGCCAAGAATTTTGAATGACCATAATGACATTTACCTTTTAAATAAATAAAGGAGTTTTAATTATTTTTTCAAAGAAATTTAGCAATGCTTTTTAACAAATACCTATTGTTACTTAGTTAAAAGCTTATGAAACATACCAAGTTATTAAATTGAATGAATAATAAAATAATAAATAATAATAATAGTTATTAATATTAATTAATAATTGAATAATATACTAAATATTAAATATTATTAAATTGTTTACATTAAATATTAATAATTAATTAATTATTTAAAAAAAAAATAAAGAAAGCCAAAAAAGTATAACTTCTTACGGGCGAACATAAGTACACGCAACCTTTTTTTTAATGTAAACGAAATGATTTCAAAATTCTTTTCACGTCTCCTGAGCGCGGCAGTGTCTACGCCGCATTATGGAAAATGGTAGAAAAACGGCATATCAAGAATAGTTTTTATTAAAGTTGTCATTGACGCACTTTTAAAAGTTTATTGCATAGTATAAGAGTGGCACTTTAATATAAAGTAGTAATTTTGCATGATTTTCATTTGGAAAATGTTTTATTTATTCCGCAAGATAAGTATGTCAAAGAGTGTCTATTACAGGTCTGTTCGCTTCAATTTTTAAAATTAATTACTTAGTAGGAATAGTTATAAAGTGTAATACATTTTTAGAAACCCCATGGTATGCAAATTTTAACGCAAATAGTAAAATATTAGGTTTTATGATTATATTTATATAAAAAGTAAGGGAGGGGGAAAAAGACAGTTTTTTAACTTCGTCGAGATTTTGACTTTAGTCTCCCAGTGCCTTAAATTTGATTTGGTTGTGTGCCGTAGATATTTAAGAATAATATTTTCAAAGTCAGCCGCGGATACGAGGGGTTTCGGAAGTCACGAAATCACGAAAAGTATAATACAAGTTAGGAAACAGAAAACCTCTATCTATTGTTGTTTCTTATGTTGAACTATTAAATTGATAAGTCTGCGGTTATTTATTGATAATAGGGCGTTTTATCTTCATTTTGCACTCATATAGCTGTATCAAGTAAGTAAGTAAGTATAAATTTTGCAAAATTTGCATTCTTAACTTCAAATATTTAACGAAATAAAAATTATTAATCATTTAATTACTTATTGAAATAGGTATGAGATTTATTATAATATACTGCTCAAAACAATTAGCGGAACAAGATTTTTCTCCTTTCTATTGCTTAAACTAAAATTAGATTTAAATTAACTTGTACGCTATTTTTTACCTTGTTAATTTGTTAATTACTACAATTAATAAAAAAAATCAATTTGTATTTTTTTTATTAAAAAAAAATTAAAATGTGCATTGTAGACGAAAAACTAATTGGTGATAAAAAAGGTCCATCAAAGAAATATTCTTATATCGTTTGAATATTCGTCTTTAGTGACTTTTAGTAACGTGTGTGGCCTCCATGAGCCCTAATCATGGCTTGACAACGACGCGGCATGCTTCGTATGATCCTCCGAATATCTTCTTGTGGAATTCGCTCCCATTCTTCAATCAACGCTTCAGTGAGCTGCTGCAGTGTTTGAGGTGCAATCGGACGCTTCCGGATGCGCCTGTCAAGCAAGTCCCAAATGTGTTCAATTGGATTTAGGTCAGGGCTCATGGAAGGCCACTCCATTACACGGATTTCCTGCTGTCGTAAGTAATCTGACGTGATGGCTGCAGTATGCGGCCTGGCATTATGCCTGGGCCCATACCATATGCTGCGGGTCAAACATGATCTTCGAGCACATTTTCAATGTAAGTTTGAGCACACAAGCGCCCGGGAACAACGACGAGATCTGTGCGCTCGTCCAAACTAACTCCGCCCCAAACCATCACAGAGCCACATCCAAATTTGTCATATTCCTGGACTGCTGCTGCACTGTATCGCTCGCCTGGGCGTCTGTAAACACGGAGACGACCATCGCAACGTGTTAGACGGAATCGTGATTCGTCAGTAAAAGCACTGGCCTCCAATGTCGAAGTTGCCAATTAGCGTGATTTTGCGCGAACTGTCGGCGAGCTTGTCTATGTTGAATTGTTAGACGCACAGCCCGAACTGGTCGTCGTGATCTCAAATTGGCTTCCAACAACCTATTTCTTACCGTCTGGTCGGAAATTTCTACACCAGTAGCCGTCCTTAGTGTATTTTGTAGATCTCTTGCAGTTGTGGTGCGGTTACGTAAAGCACAGTTGACGATGTAGTGATCTTGCAAACGTGTAGTTTTTCTCTTTCGACCTTGACCACGCCTTCGTGAGTATTCTCCCGTCTCACGGTATCGCTTCCAAAGTCTGTAGATAACAGAAGGGGCTACTCCTAGATCATTTTCTACATAACGCATAGTTCGACCCACTTCAAGCAAAGCGATAGCTCGGGAGACATGCAATTCAGTCAGATCTGGCATTATGACCTAAACTCACTCGCTTCAATGAATAACAATACTCAAAAGGCTCACTTCAATTTCTATTAATACTCAAAAGATTGAAAAAAAACTACTTAAAATGTGTTTTCTGTGATTAGAAAGTAATGAAAATTCAAAGACGTCACTTTGTTTTTAGGTGTTTCTAAATACACAGCCACTTTATTATAGGACTACTAACCAAAACGTCTCTTTTGTTTTTTATTTACTTCGACAATGCCTTAACATTATCTAGTGGCCAGTAATAATTAAAACCTTAAGTAAAAAGTTTAGTTCTACTTTAAAGTTTTGTTCCCGTAATTGTTTTGAGCAGTATAGTTGTTTTATAATAAAATAATGAAAAAATAACTTTATGCACTATATTGTCGATAAGGAAATAAAATAGAGGTCATTTCTTTAAACTGTTGTTTTTATCATTTATTATTAAATACATACCTACTCTAATTAAAGTAAAACATATGAGATTTATTTGAAGCCCTACTTAATACCTAAAGCGTGTGCAAAAACTCAATCACCTTTCTTGACAAATAAAAAAGTTATCGATTTTTAAAACAGACCATATTTACCATAGTACGCCGGTTTGATATATGCCCTATTACCTGCGTTATACGTGATATCAAACTGAGTAAAATGTATGCGTATGGAGTAGCAAATAGTCAAACATAGTGAGGAGACCAGTAAAAATTAATACCTCATCAAAGCAACCATCCAAGGAAACTCTCCGAACTCGGCGTGCGTGTTTGAAGAGTCGCGGAATGCGTAGCCGCCGGGGTTGCTCCATCCACATCCAGGTCTTTTAGGCGGCAATGGAGGTGGAGTCACGGTTCCTGTCGTAATCAATCGACTGGTTGGACAGCATATCTTCAAGTAGTGGCAGCTTAACCCTCTGGAAATTAAATTAACGCTGAAGAAGTTGATTTTTTAAAATTTATTATAGAAGAACTGTCAATTGCTAAATCGCGCTACAACCTCTTTAGCTCAACGACTCAGATTTCTGAATCAGTTTCATGATCATGTTTCAAGTGCCTGACACACGCTGTCGACTTTTGGGTCTAAGACATGTCGGTTTCCTCACGATGTTTTCCTTCACAGTTCGAGAAAATGTTAAATGCGCATTGAAAAGTCCATTGGTGCACAGCCGGGGATCGAACCTACGACCTCAGGGATGAGAGTGGCACGCTGAAGCCACTAGGCCAACACTGCTTACTATATATAAATGCCATTTTAAACTGGGCCCTAAACTTACCTATAAACGTCCATGTTTTCCAAGTCGATTTCGTTGCTGTCCATGCATTCTGACAATTTCACACATTGTCCCACTTCCTGCTTTTCAGTGTAACAATCCGTGGGTCTTTTATCTGAAATGTAACAACAATTACAACGAACGATGGATCAAATGGTTTTTATAAGATAAGCTATGAAAGGCAGCTTCTGCATTCCCTGGACCACCATGGCAGCGCGTGCCAGCTTAGAGGCCAGCTTGCTAGTTCGCAAAAGAAAATGCCTAGTGAAACGAACTATGGAAGTTTTCTAACCATTAAATAAAAGAAAATATGTTTATTATGGAACATAAGATACAGGTATCACTTATTCCACGTCTTTTGAATTTGTAGGCATCGCAAATTAATTAGAAGTAGCCTGTCTAGCACTAGTTCCAGGCAAGGGCCTGTTAACGATTATCTAGTTGATAAAAGGTTATCAACTAGATAATCGTTAACTTTATAGTAAGCATTTTTACACAGCTTTTCTTGAATACATTTCTTAAATTTATTAAAAGGCAGAGATAATAGAGCCTCTGGGATTTTATTAAAGAAGAGACGGGGAAATTGCAGCCTGCGTTTGTTCCGAATATTAACATTGAGCGTATGTTCTATTCTAGTAAACTTATCACTATTTTTGTATACATACATAATATTTTCATAAATATATTGCGAGGGAAAGGTAAGTATATTAATTTCCTTGAATTTATCTCTAAGAGATTCCCTACATTTTAAATTATAGATTGCACGAATAGCCCTCTTCTGCAGGATGAAAATAGTTTCGACATCAGCAACATGACCCCATAATAATAAGCCATAAGTCATTAAGCTATGAAAGTAACTAAAATAAACAAGTCTAGCTGTATCGACATCAGTTAGTGAGCGAATATTTTTAACCGCGAAGGCTGCAGAACTAATTCTCTTCGCCAATCCGTTAATATGAGGGGACCACTAAAGTTTTGAATCTTTGAATGGATGGAGTTGGCGTCCACCACGTTGATAAGGCTCAACATCGTCCCAACCCGTTGGTGTGCTAAAGCATATTACCCCTTCCCGACAATTAAGGCCCGAAGGAGGCCCCGACATGTCTTAGCGGTTTCTGACGATCCGATTACAATAGCCAACGACAAATTAAAAGCCGCCCGTAAAAATAAAAATCAGATTAAGGTAAAAAACCGGGTAACCCTTACTTCGCACTTCGCTCACTCCAGTGAGCTACGCGACTTCCCAAACCGAGGTTCGAGTCTCACAGGAGACCGAGATTCCATTGAAATAAAAACAAAACTTATGTTAAAGTTATTTTTAAAAGTAAGTGTCATCTCCCTCTTTTAGGCAAATAATAAAATAATAATAATAATCTTTATTTCTTCTCTCACATATACATACAAGGTTATTATGATTAAACTAAGATGATAACATTAGGAAGTGTATGTGAGAGACTGGTCTATGTAACAGGAGACCTGAGTAACAGATAGCCAGCCTCTCCACCACCGGACCGGAACACGTACAATCAGGTCTTTGTCATAAGATACAATAGAAGAAAATAAGTAAGTGCTAAAAGAAAACATTGCAAACGGAGTCATAAAATAAATTTGGTGTGTGTGTGTATGTGTGAGTGAGTGTGTGCGTGTGGGCGAGTGGGTGTGTTACAGAGGAACAGTTATTAAATCCTCTGTTTCATCATAACTCAACGTCTTCAGCCAAGTAGTAAGTAAAATGGTTTGAACAGTGTGTGCCGTGTGGTGTCAGTCCGTTGATAGGTTGTTTATGTTCATGGAGGAAGCTTCCTGTACTGCGCCGCCCCTGTGTGCGAAGTGTCAAGCGTGCGGCGGAAACGGGGCAAAGACAATAAGGGCGTCGCAATCGTAATAAGCTTTGTAAAACTTACACAACATATTCTTTGTAGTATCGATAAGTAGGTATTATATTTATCATATAAAACATACAATATTTCTCTTATTGTACACGTCTCCCAAGATGATATTTACGTTTGTGGTTAATCTAATATATAAAATTCTCGTGTCGCGGTGTTTGTAGTTAAACTCCTCCGAAACGGCTTGACCGATTCTCATGAAATTTTGTGTGCATATTGGGTATGTGTGGGTACAAAATCTATTTTTCATCCCTCTAAATGTTAAGGGTAGTCCACCCCTAAATTATTTTTTTAATTTTCAGATAATTTTTATTTTTTTATAATACAAAATTAAAAAATACATGCAACCCCTAATTTTCACCCCTCTACGATCAACCCCTATTTTTTATTATAAATGATATACATACGACGTTTGCCGGATCAGCTAGTTATATTTTATTTATATACTTTGTTTGTTTTGTTTGTTTGTCTGTCTATAATTATTAATTGCCGCCGATGATACGTCCGTCCCTCTAAATAAGCAAAGCGAACTGGAACATTTTATTTGGTCAGAATTAACAATTACTAAAATATGTTGAAACATGAAGATTCTCAGCTGTATGTATGACGTCATCGTAATTTTTAGATATAACTTCAAGAATTATAAAAAACGACGGGAGCATTCTGGGAGTGCCGGCAGAAGTGAAAACTTGAATATTAACGTTGTGCATTTTTTGATATTTTGGAATGGTTAGGAAATAATTTTGCACGGATTGCTTTAATTATCAGTTTAAAAGTACGATTTGGCATTCTGATAAACAATAAACTACAAGCTCCCTCCTTATCAGAATGCCAAATCGTAAAATGACTGCTTCACGACTGATTTGAGCGCGACCGCCGCTGCGAAAACCGCTGTGTGAGTTCGAAAAGTGAGTTACAGAATCGCAAGGCAGGTCACGTGTCCTGACGCGAGTTTAACATTTTTTACCCATTTCAAAAAAAGTGTACAACGCCGCTAAAGAAGTTTTCACTTCAAAACGAGGATTTTATTGGGTACTAACTTGTTGGATTTAAAAAAGGTTCCAAGCCATTGATTTGTGCTCTGGAAATTGTTATTCTGCCCTTGACATCCCCACACCAGCAAGCATACCGCCACAATTGACCTGCGAAACATACAATTTTTTTGGCATTTGAAAGAAGTCTGGAGTATTAACTGCATGCGCTGTCAGACTCCCGTATGCCACACGATTGACATACTATAGGCATACTTAGCGCAATCTCGACTGTGTTACCTTTAAGCTTTCGCAAAAAAAAAAAAAAATACTAAAAACATTCAAAGATCTTCCTACTAGAGTTTCTAAAAATCGACTTAATTTATTAATTTATATAACACTAGCAAACTCGGCGAACTCCGTTTCGCCACCAGATGGCTTCGTTTTATGTAACATTTAGTTTGGTGATCCCGCATTTCTGTTGAAATTTTTCCTAAATTTTCTTTTAGCCTCACGGAGCCCGAGACCTTTCCAACGAATGCAAAACCGTGGAAATCGGTTCGTGCGTTCTGGAGTTATAGCGTCAGGAAGGAAAACCCGACTTATTTTTATATAGTAGATTAATTTGATAATGTAATAATATATTTAAATAATGATGATGTAGTGATAAATAATTGGATTTCTTAAACGGAATGCGGATTGTTTTGATTGTACGACTAAACAATTTTGTACAATGCACTGGTGCGCCATGTTGAATTTGGCAGTATTATATGGAATCCACTATATGCGATCCATTCGCAACGCGTTGAAAGCATTCAAAGATCTTTTACACTTTCTTTCATAAGCAGAGGATTTTCACATAGAGACCCGTACCGTCAGCGACTTAAACAATTTAATATGTTATCTCTGTACAATCGGAGAACTCTAGCCGGTGTTACATTGTTGCATAAATTGCTCAATAACCATATATACGTACAGAGCAGTGACCTCTTACAGGATATCAAAATTGTCGTCCCTTTATTTTTTTTTTTATTTATTAGGCTTACGACATCACACACAATACTTAATCTACTAATTATTTTACAAAAACTTACATCTAAAATGTGTGACAATTAACGTAAACACAAGTTTCACAAACAAAAAATAGAAATTTAAAATTTAAAAAATACAATTAAATCATAATATACAAGGTGTTAAGGATTTTGTAGAACTCAGATGCCATATCATTAACATTATTATGAGCGCGTAGGCTATCATTCCAATCAATGGTTTTCAGATCCCCTATAATAGACACATAGTCAGCTTTTTAAAAATTTAGTTTAGTGTTACCTCTCTTTAGCAAAAAAAGATATTTTAGAATATTTAATACTTAACAATAAACTAGGATGATTCGCGTATATTTTACTTAACGAGTCGGAGGGGGCTGATACATTAATACTAGACATATTACTTAATACTAAATACAAGAAACGATCATCACTATTACCTATACTATTACATTGCTTTGGGCTATTCATTCCCTTACTCATTCCCTAGGTTTAAAATCAACAATATCTTCCAAATTCCTTCTGCCAAAACCAACCTAGGAGTTCAGGCACCTCTCGTTCGAATTCTTCGCGATTTCAACAAATTGAACACAGCGTATCCAGAGCTGGATATATTCGGTAGTGGGCTGATCGGTTTTAGAGAAAGCATTGTGGGGTGCCTTTCTCGAACCTAATTTCGCTGTTGTTCTGATGATTTTTCTTTTTTTTCTGCTTAGTGCCAACAAATTTCATTAAAATTAAATTTTATTTTATGTTTATGTTAAAAAAAAAATTATTTTAATGTGTGCTTGTATTGTCGTGTGTGTTTTAGTTGTTTTTTTTTATTTCTATTTGATTTTCTTTTTGAGAAACTTATGCTTGCATTAATTGTCACACATTTTAGATGTAAGATTTTGTAAAATAATTAGTAAATTTAGGAGTGTGTGTGATGTCGTAAGCTTGATAATAAAATAATATTACTCTATAATTTTGAATAGTAATAATAAAAATGATTATTTATTTACAATTAATAATTTCCCTACATAATATATTTTTCTATACAAACTCTTGTCTATATTGTATTTTATATAAACTCTTTTGTAATGTTGTCTTTGCCGTCTGATCGACGATGTTTAATTTATGTCCCTTGACATAATATAAGTATAGTGCCCTGTAAACGATCAAATTGTTTGTCAAATTTTACGTGTTTGTCAAATTACTAACATAGAATTTATGTTGCATTTCATATCTGTTTATCGTGATTTTTTTTTATTTTAAGTAAACCTTTGTTATTTTGTATATCTTTTAGCAAGAAATAAAAGGCTTTTTATTTTATTTTATTTTATTTATTGCTTCACAAGTTTCAATGATAATGTTGCTCAATGTTCGAGGTGCAACGCAGGCTTGAAATTTTAAGTCTTCGAAATCATCGCCGCTAGCCAGGTACCTCAAAGTTATTGATAGCTGTATAGATTTCCGCATAACTGTGTCCTTTTTTTCAATACGAGGATGGAGTATAGTCAGTAAATCTTCAAAAGTTTTATGGTCCATGCGCAGGAAGTTTGCGTAGTCTTTAGGTTCAGTGCGCAATATTTCCCGTAGCAAATTCTCGTATTTATCTCTTAATTTCAACCATTCTCGACTCCATCATGTAATTTTTTTGTCTTGATACACAGTGCTAGAGTCAATGCCAAAAATGCGTCATCTGAATTACTCATTGTAATAATTGTAAGTGCTCGGCACGGCGACGTCACGTCACGAAAGGAGAAACCCGAATCTACTAGAAAGTTAACAAATTTGTTTGATATTTGGTTTGATCGTTTAAGCTATTGTTTGATGAAAACGTGAAGTTTGGCAAACAAATTTGACAAACAATTTGATCGTTTACAGGGCACTTAAGATATTTTAATTTTTTAATTTTATTATTTTACTTTATAAAACCTAGAATATAGGCTTTAAATGTTGTTTCTTTTGTATTCACAGAGAAACGCAGTTGCGCCTTATATATTCCCAGTATATCTATAATTTTGAATAGTAATAATAAAAATGATTATTATTTACAATTAATAATTTCCCTTATTTAAATCGTGTATCGATCTTTCATAATAGATACATAAACTACTCAACTCCACCTTATATTTCTATTCGCCCTACTTCAAAAAACGATCACGAAAAATGAAAAGAAATAGTACTTTTTTGGAGTTCGGCGACCGGATAGGTACTTAAAGATTTATGTTGGCTCCATGATAGTAGCGTGACCCTGGAGTTAACATACGAGTCATATTTAGCGCAAAGTGCCCACTGTGTTACCTTTAACATTAAAGGTAGTCTAAAAAAGTACCCAAAATGCCTTAAAACATATAGCAGTAGTAATCTTAATATATATAAATTACGTGTCACGTTGTTTGTCCGCGATGGACTCCTAAACTACCGAACCGATATCAATGAAATTTGCACACCGCGTGTTTGATCCAACTTAAAAGATAGGATAGCTTACATCTCAATTTATACTCGCAATATTATATTATTGCAAATATTCGTTTATTATTTGATACAATTCTAACAGATGGCGCTGTGTTAAAAGTACCAACGTTTCACATAAACTATCTACCTTTCAAGTAAGTTCTCCTACCGTTTCCCTTGAATAGTTTACTACTATGTAATATAACAAAAACCTTAGCCACAGCAACGCTTGGCCGGTCTGCTAGTTGTCTATATATATTTTATTGTTAAAATAATAAAACTATGTATCCGTCTATGGATGTCAGTAAAAAAATAATTTGAATAATTCCTTCACTTCATGCTAATGAACTTGAAGCGCTAAGAAATTCCCAAATTATTCTTCTTTATATATATCAATGGCAAAATTTATACAACAAATAGTAGTAATTAATATTCATAGATCCATTTTCATAGAGGTAATAATAAATACTCACTTCATTCTTCACACAATTGCTCTGTCCACAAGACTATTATAAACTAAAATAATCAACAAACATTATAAAATAAGATATTATAAGGAAAACTGGTTATTGCATACGGGTTTTTGTAGTGATGTCATCTGTCGATAAACTTAGTGTCTTGTGATGATAACACACAGCAAGGTCAAGGTTTAACTGCAGTGTTTAACCGACCCTGAGGTCGTGCGTTTCAATCGCCGCTGTGCATTTTTCTTTTTTCGCAATGGACACTTGGTAAAAATCGTGGTACCCGCATGTCCCAACATAGAGGTGTAAATAATGTTCTCGTACACAATCTATTACAGTCAATCCAGCAGTGTTGGCCTAGTGGCTTCAGCGAGCTACTCTCATCCTCGAGGTCGTAGGTTCAATCCCCGGCTGTGCACCAATAGACTTTATTTCTATGTGCGCATTGAACATTCGCTCCGTGAAGGAAAACATCGTGAGGAAACCGACATATCTTAGACACATAAAGTCGACGGCGTGTGTCAGGCACTGCAAGCTGATCACCTTCTTGCCTATTGATCAAAAAAATAAAAAAAATGATCATGAAACAGATTCAGAAATCTGAGACCAAGACCTAAAGAGGTTGTAGCGCCACTGATTTATTTATTCTACAGTCAATCCAGAGTAAGTGACAACTGGGTAGGAGAAAACTCTACTTATGAAAGTAATTACCAGGTCTCGTTATTTTGCCCTGCTAAAACCTCTGTAAGTGAAACATGAAACTTGTATTTTTTATGTTATAGGAGGCAAACGGGCAGGAGGATGTTAAGTGATACCGCCGCCCATGGACACTCACATTGCCAGAAGGCTCGCAAGTGCGTTGCCGGCCTTTCAATTTTTGGTACGCTCTTTTCTTGAAGGATCCTAAGTCGAATTGCTTCGGAAATACTTCAGTATGCAGCTGGTTCCACATAGTGTTGGTGCGCGGCAAAAAGGCAGAAAAACGCTCAGTTGTGGAACGACGGACGTCGAGGTGATACGGATGGTATTTTGTATTTTGCCTTGACGTCCAATAATGAAACTCAGCTGCAGGTATTAGACCGAACAACTCCTCTGAATACTCTTCATGGTAAAAAACTGTATAAGTGAGTGTATAAGTCATTTTTCACTGGTGAACCTCTATATATGGGTTTGATACTTGCCTATGTACCTCAAACTTATATTCATCATTAAATAGTAATAAATGTATTTATCATAGTTTGATTTCTGTGACAAACAGCTGTTACTATATAAATAACCAGCGGCCATCTTGTTAACCCTCCGATACTGAGTAGTTAACTTTTTGAAGTTATACTTTTTTAGGCGCGTTATGAAAAATTGACTAGAATGAAATTTTACGATGCGCGCGCACCGTGACACAAAATTAACAGAATGAAGTTGCCCACTGAAGATGCTACATCATTGGACATAATTTAAAAACAACATTCGAATAATAATACAATTTATGTTACACTTAATTTAAGAGAATAATAATAAATATTTATTGATTTAATTTTTCAAATGTAAACTGAAGTTTATTGACTATAATGACTCCTTTTCCAGTCTTTGATTATTCAATTGTAGTTAAGTCTTGCAGTGACCTAAAATGAAGGCGAATTATATTTTTAAAACATCGATAAGATATCACACCACTAAAAAGGTCGAGTTTAAATGATGATTTCGTTTCGATAATATGATTTTATTATTTATAGTTCAGAAGGCAAATGAAAAAATAAGCAGGTGTCTAACTTCTCTCCAAACAGACCTTATTACCTGCAAATTATCACAAATCACGGCAATCACGGCAATTTACATAAAGATTAATAAAAACACGGGTGCCATTGCCCACCTTGCCGCAGTTCTTCGCAGCCAGGTGTAATCAAGTATGATTTCGATACATTTATTCATTATATTTCAAATTGAAGCTATTTTTTTCTATTGATTATTATCGTATATTGGTGCCTTATTAAATCTGGCCGCAAATAAGGGTTACCTACTGTTAAAGATGATAAAAATTTAAGGTAGTGTTAAAGAGAGTTAATATATCATCATTTGTCAGACGAGGATAGCGAATGCCGCCTGCTTGCTTTTAAGCCATTGCGCATGCGTCGAATGTTAGTGTTCTCAAACTGAATAGATGCGGCATTTTTATTCTAACAAAACCACGCTGGCAATCAGTAGTGCGTTGGATCGTTCTTTATTAATTGCTCTATGACCGGTGCATGTTGCGGACCTGCGCACTTATTTTAAAATCAACAAAATGATCGACAGCAATAACTACGTTATTAACGCTCTGCGATATTGTGCTTATGCTTTTTTTTTAAATAGGGAGTATTTTTGTAATAAGCTTTTAATTTTTGTGCAGCCCTGCGATTCTGTAACTCACTTTTCGAACTCACACAGCGGTTTTCGCATCGGCTGTCGCTCTCAAATCAGTCGTGAAGCAGTCATTTTATGATTTGGCATTTTGAAAAGGTGGGAAATTGTAGTTTATTGTTTATCAGAATGCCAAATCATAAAATGACTGCTTCACGACTGATTTGAGAGCGACCGCCGATGCGAAAACCGCTGTGTGAGTTCGAAAAGTGAGTTACAGAATCGCAGGGCAGATCCAGAACTACAGTTTCCAATGATTTGGCGCGATTCATTAGCCGCCAGTGTTGAAATAAAGTGCGTGCCGAATTGGAGGCCTTTGACAATATGACGCTAAAAAAACCATAGAGAATAATAGTTATTAGTATTCACAATGATGTCCGTACTGTGCAAATTGTCAATTACAAACTGAAACTGAAATAAAACAATAAATAGGAGCGTATTATTTTTTTGACATTTATAAGGGCTAGTTGATCTAGTTCTTAGGGCAGGAAATTAAACACTCCGATGATGACTTGATTCACTATAATTCACTATAACTTCTTGAACAAAAGGAATTGTTGCGCATGTGTTACAACCTCTTTTATAATCTCTTCCCTACTCCGACCCGACCATCCCACTTCGGGCAGTTGTTCGAGTCAATTCGTAACAGTTCGTTAACAACCGAACGAGTCAAATAAGTAACTATTGCACATGCGCACTCGTAGCAAGATTATTAAGAATATGTTTCATAAAAAATGTTTAGGTTTAAATTAAATATTAAAAACTAACACATTGAAAACATGAAAAAAAACTGAATATACAGTCAAAACCATTTACGACGACATCGTTTAGAACAACATATCGGTTATATTGACCAAAATCAAAGGTCCTGGCTGAAATCTATATATTAGGTACTTAATAACAACGTCATCGGCTGTTGCAGATATCTGTTTTTACGACCAAATATGAAGTCGAAATAGATTTTGACTGTAATGAGGGATTTTTCTGACAGCTAAGAAAAGTAGTTCCAAATTAGTCAAGTCATTGACAGATGGCATTTTCAAGTAAGGGTTTTTGTTTTTTTAATGGGAGTTGCCAGTTTATCATGTGGTCTTTCCTCTTTTCTTTTGGCTCTTGCATTTGATTGTGATTGGTCTTTGGGCAACTTTGGGTGCTAAAATCATGGAAAAAACGAACCAATACACTAGTCATACCTCTGGACGGGCGTCGCTTTCTTTCCAACAAGTCTTGCATTGCGTTTTCGGAGCTCGTTTTTCAGGTCTGTCACAAACCAGGAAACGTAATCTTTTCTCACGGTTGATGGTAAACTCATCATGAGATCGAAGTCCAATAAACAGGCAGGGGTCAATCGTAACGGCAAGCAAACGTCCAGGGTGCACGCGAAGGTCAGTCGAGTTAAGAAGCCAGAACAGCCCAAAGAAAAAGCCAGGGTCGTCGTAAAAATAACAGAACAGGGGAGAACAAAACATTCGCGTCACCACCAAGTTTTTATCTGTGGCAAGCAATAAGAAAAAAAGGGTAAACCCTTGCGATCAAGCGCCATCTCATCGTAGCTTTTAGGCTGAATTTAGTCTCACGCTCACCGTCAGCGCTCATAGATCAGCGCGTAGTTCGTCAGCGCTGACGCTCAGCGTGGTTCGTTTTAGTATCGTACTGACCGCCTTACTCGACCTGTATCCACTTCGCGATTTGCCATGACTGTACACGCTGACGACGTCCGTTCGACACTACAACGCTCACTGAAAGCAAAGGCGCTCTAGCGATCGTCAGCGCTGACAGCTACGCGGTGCTGACGCGCGACCCGTACGGCCGCGCCGCCATCGGCGCTGACCACCGTGCGCGCTGATAGCTACGCGTCATTCAAAAACGCTTCATATATCTCGACCATCAGCGCCGACGGTGCGCGTGCGGTCGGCGTGACACTTAATTCAGCCTTAGAACTATATTTTTTTAATAGCTGTCAGAAAAATCCCTCATTGTAAAACGTTTCGCCTTGACATTTGTGAAACGTCAAGCCTATTTACATTTGACGGATTAGTATGGAGCAATCTTGTTGGAGTTTGAATATGTAATAACGGCAGGCAACACTTGTAATGTACAGAAAAAGTTTTAGCTTAGAATATAAGAATACCTGTTTGAATTTTATATAAAAAGATAGTTTCTGTTTCTTTTGTATTAGTAGTTCTATTCGCGGAGAGTGTAGCATCTTTGGCTCTTTATAAACATAAATTATTGTGAATATTGTAATGAATATGTAAGTGTAATAGCTGTGTGCTCAAGATATATTAAACAATATGAAATAAGTGTTTTTTTAAATCCTCACCACCAGAGCTAAGTCCCCTTAAAAGATTGAAAACGTCCAACAAATCTAAAAACAATCTTTGGTTTATTGTTGACTAAACTTAGTAATAGTGTATTGGAGTATGTTGAGTTCTGCATTTATTTTTTGCCGCATATTCTCATAACCCGGGCACTATTTTGTATATCAAAATACTATACGTTTTTGACAAACGGAGTCACACAGTAGATCCACACTCTCGACAAGGCGACATGGAGGGAATCGAGTCAAAGGACGCGAGTCGGCGAGTTGGGAGAATAAAGGACGCGAGTGAGCGAGTTGGGAGATTAAAGAACGCGAGTGGGCGAGTTGGGAGAAGAAAGGACGCGAGTGGGCGAGTTGGGAGAAGAAAGGACGCGAGTGGGCGAGTTGGGAGAATAACGGACGCGAAACTAAAAAACATCATTATTGTCAGAAGATATCTATGAAAGATATAGCTTGTTTTTGTGATAACAAGGCAACGAAATCAGTGACGCTACGACCTCTTTAGGTCTGGGCCTCAGATTTCTGAATCTGTTTCATGATCATTTTTCAATCTAATAGGCAAGTAGGTGATCAGCCTTTTAGAGTCTTTTTGGGTCTAACACATGTCGGTTTTTACGATGTTTTCCTTCACCGTTCGAGCGCATATTAAATGCGCACATAGAAAGAAAGGCCATTGATGCACAGCCGGGGATCGAACCTACGACCTCAGGGATGAGAGTCGCTGAATCCACTAGGCCAACACTGGCAACTGCAAACTGATAACAAGGCAAGGCATTACAATATATTCCCATAAGGCAGTCATTCCAGTCACGTCCATCTTCTAGAAGCAACTAACTAAATAAAGCGAGAGCGTGGATACCACTAGTGCCCATATTCGGCTTTACAATAAAACTAGGGGCGTAAAACTATAATATTTTCACAAACCACGAATATGACCATTTAAAAAAAAAGTTTTTGGTACAGTCGACTCTCGATAATTTGAAACTCAAGGGACCAGAGATTAAAAAAAAGAGTTAATTTTTCAAATTATCAAGAGTTCAAAATAACAAGTGTTTGACGACCACACCACGATAACCACGACTGAAGGAAATAAGAATTTGATAAAAATTTGTTACTTATTATTTCTATATTCTTATTATGTATAAACAATTATTCACAAATTTTTATTTCGAAAGAAGAAGTCTGTAATCTTTTTTTGAGTGAGTGACTTCAGTTTATCATTGTCCAAAGAATTTTCGATAGTGGTGAGAGCTGCAAAGTAATCGTCACTTGCCACCCATTTATGTAAACAATTGACAAGTCTCTGCATGTATGTAAACAAACGAGAGGTATGAGCATGATAAACGCTTCAAATTATAGAGAGTAGGAAAGACCGGATTTCAAATTATCGCATGTTGGCGAGCAAGATAATACTTTTTCAACTTTAAATTACCGAGGGGACCAATTATCATTGATTTTATTCAATTTATCGAGTATTTTTCAAGTAACCGGATTTTTTTTTCAAATTATCGAGAGATTCAAGAGAGAGAGAGAGAGTCGACTGTACTAGGATTATTGTTGCATCGCTTGGTACATTCAAATATAGATTAGTTAATTAAATGAACCGTTGCTAGTTATATAATATGCAACTCATAGTTAAGCGTAGAACGGAACGTCAAGATTTTCTTCAGCAAATTTATCAGTGATCCATTGGTACATCGCCGCTACGTTGACGTACGCAGCGGGTACTTGTGTACCACACCCGACGCCGAATGCAACCATTCCATACACTGAGTAACGGGGTGTGCCGCCAGCGCTCTGAAAATTATTTTTTACACGCTTTATATTAGCTTCACCTGTAAGTATGTATGTATGTATGTAACCGACTCCTTCGGACTCGATTTTGACCCACTTTAAACGGACAGATTTAATTCAAATTTTGCGCACCTGTCAAAGATCGATGACAATGAATAATCCGAAAAAAAAAATATTTAACGAAAAAATATATAATAGTTAAAAAAAACTAAAAAACACGCTTTTAAAGCACATCAAACTAAAAAGTGTTGTAGTCGTAGAATAGTGACGGATCTGACAAATAGTAAACTTTACAGGGCAGCCATTTTAAAATAATATAATCATGTTATTTTTCTGTCATAACTTTTTAATTCATATTCTATAATTATCAAATTGGCATACAAGCAATTGAAAAAAAAAAAATTACACAGTTTTCTAGAAAAATCAATGAGCGTCTATCAAATCCGTCACTTTACTGACTAATTAATTTGAAATTTAAAACACATGGTTTTTTTTAATGTAGCCGTAATATTTAGTCAATGCAGTATCCAAATATGATAAAAAGTGGATTTCAAACCCGACATTGGTCTACCCTACGACAGTTTTACTTACCGAAGTGCGACAAACAAGTGACGCGCCTCCATCGCCAGTACATGTGTCAAAGTTCGTCCTTCCTCCAGCACATATCAATGTGTTGTCCAGCCTGAACTTCATTCCAAGCCGCGTATGTTGTAAAGCCCATTCACAAGTTCCATGGTCAACTATTGGTAATGGCACCTATAACAAAAAAAAGTAAAGTTGGTTTACCGACGATAGTTGAACGTGACAACGTCACGAATCGCTCACTCAAGTACGAGAGAGACAGATGTCGAACGCTGAAGAGCGCGAAGTCCGATTGTGCCTCTCTGTCGCTTCGCGCTCTCGCTTGCACTTCAAGCCTTAAATGGAACGCCTCAGAGCGAGGTAACGCCGCATGAGTCATGTTTTTTCGTGCGTGCAGCCGGCTCCATCGAATTATAAGACGTTGTCACGTCAAAAAATGTTGGACATTGGAAACTGGCTGATCTTTTTAAATATTTGTGACAGTTGAGATGTGGGGTGTGTCTACATCTTCTGTTGGTATGTTATTTAAAGCTGGCGGCTTCAACACATTTACACTTTGTGCTTGTGTAGCGTCTGTGAATAAGCGCGAGGCGTGATGTCGAACTGAAATACAATCACAAATACATCATGAAAAGACTGTCCGTCTCTCTCGCGCTCGGTCAAGCTTATGAGTATAAAAGTGACAGTAATTGTTTTGCTTTTGCTATTGTTTATGTTTGATCTTTACTGTACATGTTGATCTTTTTTCAAACATTACCAGTACAATCTCGTGAAATGGTGCACAATGTTTTTAATTATTTTAAGCATCTTAATAAAAACAGTTAAATGAATTTTTTTTATTTTTTATTTGACATCAAATGCGACTGGGGTTTCTAAGAGGAGTATTGAAAGAATTGTTAGTGAAGTAAAAGTGAAGTGTGTTGACCTAGATGGAGCTTATGTCGAAAAATGAAAATTATTTACACAAACTACTCTTTTACGTTTTTGGTTCGGCTTAGAACTTTTGGATCCACCCTCGTATGCACATAATATTTATATGAATTTGACACATTTTTATTTATTTACAACCAACCAACCCAACCTTACTAAAACCAGAGTAGACTAAAATATATAGCTTGGCAAAAAAGTCATATTTTTAAACATACTGTATAGTGAAAATGCATTAGTGTGAGTACTGTGAACGCGCCAGCTTTTTTATTACTGTTCAGAGTAGTTCGAATTAAAACCTGCAGCCGAGTCTCATCATCGGACGTCGAGGCAGAATATTATGAGGCGAAATTTCACCCGTATCACCTCGCCGTCCGACGTTCCGGCTCCTTGCGATTCTGTAACTCACTTTTCGAACTCACACAGTGAGTTACAGAATCGCAGGGCTGAGCTGTAGGCGAGGGTCTATTTTGAAAAACACTTACTTCATGTTTAATTTATATTTTACAAGCACAACACTATTACATTAAATTCAATAAGATTCACAATAATTTATGTTTATAAAGAGACTAAAATATGTCGAGAATAGAAGTACAAAACAGAAAACTATATTTTTATATAACTAGCTGACCGGGCAAACGTCGTTTTGCCACGTATATTATTTATGTATAATAAAAAAATTAATACAAAAAGTTTTGTCTAAAAAATAAAAACAAAAATTTTAACCCTTAACATTTAGGGGGATGAAAAATAGATGTTGTCCGATTCTCAGTCTTACTGAATATCCATAAAAAAAATCATAAGAAGCGGTCGAGCCGTTTCGGAGGAGTATGGTAACTGGGTCATTCTTCTTTTTAACCTACAATAAGTTGTCTCCACCAATAAGTGAGAAAATAAACAAGGAAATTACTATTATTTTTTTCGTAATTGTATTTCAACATGCACTGTACTATACGCATAATGGCTGTGCACGATCAAATAACAAATATATTGAATAATTTAATTGTAAAAGTACGTGACAAAGTAGTAAGTAAATCCGCGTGACAGAAGTGAATTTCATACAAATTCACAGTGTCTCCCGCTACCTTAGCTTGCGTATAATCCATAATTTTACGAAAAAATTATATGATGACACAAAACGTAAAAATATCTTAGAACTTCTAAATATATTACCTATCATGTAATAGCAACCATTATTTTTTATCACTTTTAATAAAATATTCAAAAAATCTCAAAAACTTGTCTCCACTACCTGATGTTTTATTTTGTAAATTCTGTCACGTGGGTTTTCCTTCGAAATACGCGTTTGTGCCGCTCGCCTTTGTGGCTTGCGATTGGAGGTTTATACCTCTTTCCCCCCTTGGTACCCTTTCCCCCCTGAGATCAAGAGACAGCGCGTCATTCGCCCGAAAGCTGTGACAGGAGGTGCGTGTGTTTATTCGGCTACAGCTTCGTCACGTTAAGTAATTGATTCAAAATATAATTATTATTGTTACTTTATGTTGTCTACTGTTACGTAATAAGAAATATTTTACTGTCAACGTGTAAATTATATATTTTATGTAAGATTTTAAATGTTATCGACTTTGCAACACATTTTTACCCTTCCGTCACATGACAACTAGGTCACATGTTTATTGTGACGGAGTGGAACAGTACGTGATGGAGGGGTAAAACAAACAATATCCTAATGATTTATTTATGCTGAATCCGAAAAATACTGAAATAGATACACTTGTTATTATGGTATTTATTCCTGCATAAAGTATTATAAATATTTTTCCATCTTCTCGTAGTTAAGGTACTTATTTCCTATTTCTAGATACCATCATGGCGAAAAAGGAGACATTGACACCAGCAGAATGACAACGGCGTTGTCGAGAGAAACGAAAAAAAGACCCTGAGAAGGTAGCTGAAATAAAGCGTAAGGATTTAGAAAGATACCATGCTCGTAAGAAGCTAGTGGCTAACATGACCATGCGAGAACACCGAATGAAAAAGCGAATATGGCGAGAAGGAAATAAAAGAAGGATGAAGAAAAATACGCTTGAAGAGGTACTTTTAAACACGTCAGGTCCATCACCAATACCAGAAATCCCACGAATGACTCCACCTGCAACACTGAGTCCCTCCGAATTATCTACTCGTAGTTCAAGGGGAAGAAAGCAAGCGAGAAGAAATAGAACAACGTTACACAGATATAATATTAAGTTTCAAGAAAAAATAGACCAGTTAGAGAAGAAAATTCGAAAATATAAAAAGAGATTGCACAGAAAATCAAAAAAAGACAGCAGCACCAACAAAGATGAAAGTAATAGTCAGAATACAAAGAAGTACAGCATTCTTTCTAATGCCATTAAAGAACGATACAAAACTGTCAAAAGTCGACAAGGAAAACGCCTCATCCAATCCATACTTCAAACCCGTATCGTAAAAATGTCCAGAATGCAGCTCGAATTGGTAAGAGACACATTAGGTGTTGATCGACCTTTAAAATTCAAGAGCGTTCTACCAAAACGTAGTGATCTTGTACGGAAAATTCATCAGATCTTCTTGCGGGACGATGTAACGAGAGCTACAGCTGGTAAGAAGGAGACTGTCACGCACAAAAAAAAGAAAGTACAAAAACGATTTTTGTTGGACTCTATGAAAAACCTATGCAAAGCCTTCTTGAAAGAAAATAGCGGCCTCAAATGCCACTACAGCTACTTCACTAAATATAGGCCATTTTATGTGAAGCCACCTACTGTAGATGGAAGAGATACTTGCTTATGTAAGTTACATGCAAATGTTACCTATGTGGTTAATACACTACATAAGAATAAAGTAATTGTGCAGAAAGACACGAATGAAGTCTTACATTCACTAGTTTGTTCTGTTGATTCGGTATCCTGCATGAAAGGAGTTTGTCCAGAGTGCAAGAACCGGTGCATAGATTATGATAAAAGTAACCAAACACAAATTGTAGACTTACGACAGTGGATAAGGAAAAGTGAAGTTGTAGAAAAGGCAGGGAAAAAGGTAAAGATTACAAAAAATGTACCAGTTACTGAAAAGCTCACAATTAAAGAAGTGATCTATAAATTTGAGAGCGAATTACAAAACTTCAAAACGCACATCCACAATATTAGACACCAATACAAAGCTTACCGACAGTGCATTGACGGGCTGACAGAAAGTGAAGTAGCATTACATATAGATTTTAGTGAGAATTATGCCTGCAAGTATCACTCTGAAGTCCAGTCTCACCATTTTGGTGGTTCTCGTAATCAAATCACCCTGCATACAGCAGTGATGTACCATTTTTCAGCAGAAGCACAGTCAAAACGGATAACTTCATATTGTACAGTTTCATCTAATCAGAACCATGGACCTTCTGCGATTTGGGCGCACCTTCATCCAATTCTGTCGGAATTAAAAGAAAAACATCCTGCTGTAACGACTGTTCACTTCTTCTCTGATGGACCTGCAACCCAGTACAAGCAGAAGATAAACTTTTACCTAATGGCAAACAGGTTTTTCGAAGATTACGGGTTTCGTCAAATATCCTGGAACTTCTTCGAATCAGGGCATGGAAAAGGAGCTGCTGATGGTGTTGGAGGGATAATGAAACGCCAAGCTGATGCCATAGTAGCTAGAGGAAGTGATATTGCAGATGTGTTCCAGTTCTTTTCCGCACTTAAATATGCCAACAAAATTAAACTGTTCATGGTGACAGACGCAGACGTAAAAAACGTAGCAGCAACGATTCCAAGTAATATTGTACCCCTGAAAGGAACAATGCAAGTCCACCAAATGTACTCGGAAACTCGTGGAATCTTAAACCATAGAGTATTGAGTTGTTTTTGTGAAAAATTCTGTTCTTGCCACGATCCTAAAACTTATCAGCCTCTGCCTGAAATCCAACAACAACAAAATACTGTGCACGAGTTCTTATCTAACGAAAAAGAAGACGATATAATTCATGATGTGGAAGATTTCACGCTCTCTGATATTACGAACACAATTAGAATGCCAACTGATCAAACTGTCGTCTGCGGTACTTCTTACCAAACACTCCAGCCTGAAGACGTTCATCCAATGAATATAAAAGACGGAGTTCATGTATTAGTAAAAGTAAGAAGCAATAGGAAAATTGAATACACTTACGCTGGAGTAGCAAAAAGTACCGTCGATGAAGAAGGCGATGTCATGGTAATGTTTCTGAAAACAGTCGATGATAGTGGAAGACTGTTTAAGTTGGTGAAGAATGACGTATCGGATGTTCCTTTTGATGATTTGATTTAAGTCTTACCGGCTCCAAATGTTATTAAAAAGGGAAAGAGGCAATATTTTCAGTTCGAAGAGCCACTGTCAGTATTCGAAAAATAAGACTTTCTATCATTGGCTTCGAAATTGAAATATTGTCTTGCTAGATTGTGCTATTGTTAATGATGATTGTTTTATTTTATGTTTTTGGAAATGTTAATGTAGACTAAACTTTTTATTTACTTAAAACGAGTGAGTAGTCATTTAATTTACTAAAATATGAATCTCTTATTCTGAAGGTTCTCAAATGGGATTTCATCAATTTTTTAAGTTCGATCTCATGTTATTTCATATGACAATGTTGAAGACTGATAAAGATAACAAAATAAATGATTCTAGAAAAATTAACCTATTTTATTCCAAAACGTAGCCTGTATCCCCTAAAATAACAACTCTGTCACATAAGTAAATACTCTGTCACGATGTTGTCTCCCGATAGGAAAATTGTTTTGTTCATTTATATATTTTGTTATGACTAGTGCAACACTGTAAAACTTATATTTATAATATTTGATGATATTGCCGTCTATGATATTCGTATTTATTTTTAAACGATAGTAAAAATTGATTTATTAGCAAAAAATACTTTATATTAGCAGAAAATGTGACGGAGTGGTATTAGGACATAAATAAAATATAACTCAAACTCAAACTCAAACTCAAAATATCTTTATTCAAGTAGGTAACCAAGTACACTTTTGAATCGTCAAGTTAAATTAATCGTAAATTTACATTTACTACCAGTTCGCAAGTCAAGGGCGTAGAGCGGGTAAGAAGAACTGGCAAGAAACTTTCCGCCACTCTTTTTAATCGCCAAGTATTGTCATACAAATTGTTTGAACTGGAGCAATTCAATCCCAAGGATTAGGATCATTTAAGTAGTCCTCAAATTTATAAAAAGCTTTGTTGATTAATTTTCGTTTAACGAGGGCTTTGAATTTATTTAGTGATAATTCTCTAATTTCGCTTGGGAGCTTGTTGTAAAAACGAATACAATTTCCATATAAGGAGTGGTTTATCTTTTGGAGCCTGGTTGGTCGTACACTCAAATTAGTTCTATTTCGCGTATTATACTGGTGAAAGTCACCATTTGTTTTAAAATCGTTTATATTTTTTTGGACATACAACAAGGCTTCAAGAATATATTGACCAGATAGTGTCATAATATTTAATTCCTTAAACTTATTCCGTACCGACTCCCTCGGAGAAACACAACAAATACCCCGAACAGCCCGCTTCTGCAGCACAAATATGGATTGAATAATAATAATATATTTCATAAATAAAAATGTACTATTTTATTATGTTTTCTAAAAGCTCATTTAGTTAATTAATGTATTACAAAAGTTCAAGTTATTTGACGAAGAGTATTCGATAGAATAAAATAAAAGATTTCGTGACGGAGGTGTACATTTTTTTGTCGAATCTATCTTTCAGGTCTTGAAAATTGTACAAAAATCTGCAAACATCTCGACCAACTACTTTTTCCGATAGAATAGAAATTCTGCTTTCAGAATATATATAAATACTGTCGATAAAGCTTTATATTTTTTTTTTCTAAATTGAGCAAATGTTGTATGAAATTGTAGGTTTAAAAGAAGAACGACCCAACTAACATTGTGACACGAGTAAACAGGTTTTCCAATATTCGAAACTTAATCTTTTTCTTTACATGTGACAAGTGTTGCCTGCCATTATTTACATATTCAAACTCCGACAGATGTGGACAACTTATTATTATTAATATGTTATTTTTAATTTTAAACTTACCTTCTTTAACCAAAGAGCGTATTTGTCATTATTATTGAAGTCCTTACCCCAACCCATGCTAAAACAATTGGCGTCCATTTTAGGCTCATTGAAGCTCAAACAAGCAATCCCCACATGGGGATCGGTTAGATCGAATGGGGACGATGTTATTATAAGGGCAATGTCATTTGCTGCCAAACCTGAAAAATATCTCAAACTCATTATCACAGTTTTCTTTTGTATTTTATAAAGTACGTTACAATAGCTTTTGTTAAAACGCATGGTCATTGATTTTTAAATTAATTAACTATAAGCTAATCAGTCGTTCGGAAGTAATGTACATTTCGGCACTTAATTTTTATCTATAAATAAATGTACTTACTCGAAGAGAACTGTTCATGAACAAGGACTTTCCTGACATCTCTGTCCTGGTGGGGATAAATTTCGTTCGTAGTCTGCGTATCCCATTCGCCAAGACGGCATTTTAGCTGAAAATAAGACACAAACAGTCCATTAAATATTGTTATTACATAATAATTAACAATTGTTTCTTATTGATATCAGTAAACACTGTAAGTGGCCGTTCAAGTATTACGTAAGCAGATTTACAGCATTTATCCCCCCTCCTCCTCCTCTTGTAAGCAAAGGTCTCAAAAATAAAAGTTCATTAACGTGTTAATTTTTTGTTAAGCTAAAATGGAAATGGGCCGGTCACATTGGCCGCATTTGTGATGGCAGATGGGGCAAAAAGACCCTTACTTGGAAGGGCCCAGTTGAAAAAAGAACGGATGCCAGCCGAAAACTTAGGAAGATGAAATAAAAGGGATAGCATGGAAGGATTGGATAATGGTGCCGGGTATGAGAGACAGATAGAGAAATTGGAAGAGGCCTTCACTCCGTCGAAGGTCGTGATGTTAAACAAAATGACGTGGCCTTAATGTCATCTTGATTTTTTTATTTTTTTTATTTAGTTATTAAGCTTACGACATCACACACAGTACTAAATCTACTAATTATTTTACAAAATCTTACATCTAAAATGTGTGACAATTAAAGTAAACATAAGTTTCACAAAAAAGAAAAAAATTAAAAATTAAAAATTAAAACATATACAAGATAATACAAGCACACAATAAAATATAATAAAATTATAGAAATGTGTTGGCACTTAAAGCAGAAAATAAAGAAAAATCATCAGCAGAACCGTGAATTACACAGGCACCCCACAATGCTTTCTCTAAAACCGATCAGCCCACTACCGAATATATCCAGCTCCGGATAAGCTGTGTTCAATCCGTTAAAATCGCGAATAATTCACCAATAAAGACTATTTTTATTAATCCTTCCTACCTTTAGTTAAAAAGGGGTGTTGCTAGAAGGAAAACTCGTAAACGTGACATTAGTGGACGGGTATAGCGATTTCAGAATAGTTGCTGCACCTGGCATTTGACTAGACATGCTACATGAGACTGACAGCCAACTTCCAGATTGAACACTACCACAAGAAATTCAAAATATTTTTTGATGATCCTACGTTTACTGTAGCACTAACAATGTTATGGAAACTTGTACTTACCAAAAACGGGTCGTAATTTTTAATAGCTCCGAGGTTACGAGTATAAGCTACCGTCATCACCACCGAATGGTGTATCAGAGTTCCACCTCCCACGTAATCCTTTGGATCCCATCCCTGGTTCTGACTGACTTTCCTAGAGTAGGTATATTTTCTGTATTAATTGTATTTAGTTATCGAGTTCTATACCTTAAATATTATTTTAATATAAACGAAATGATTTCAAAATTCCTTTTTTTATAGAACAGGGGGCAAACGGGCTGGAGGCTCACCTGATGGTAAGTGATATCGCCGCCCATGGACACTCTCAATGCCAGAAGGCTCGCGAGTATGTTGCCTGCCTCTTAATTGGTACACCCTTTTATTGAAGGACCCTAAATATAATTGATTCGGAAATACTTCAGTGGGCAGCTGGTTCCGTGGTAATCCGAAAACTGCCTTAAGTGATATCCAAATGAGTAAAATGTATGCGTATGGACTAGCAAATAGTCAAACATAGTGAGGAGACCAGTAAAAATTAATACCTCATCAAAGCAACCATCCAAGGAAACTCTCCGAACTCGGCGTGCGTGTTTGAAGAGTCGCGGAATGTGTAGCCGCCGGGGTTACTCCATCCACATCCTGGCATCTTTTTCGGAATTGGAGATGGAGTCACGGTCTCAGTCGTAATCAATCGACTGGTTGGACAGCATATCTTCAAGTAGTGACAGCCTAACTCTCTGGAAATTAAATTAAAGCTATCAATATATTATTCAAGATAACTGAAGGAAACGTCAATTGCTGATTGCCTAACGTTTTTAATTAATTTAATTCAAATTTAAAATCAAAATTCAAAAATCATTTAATCATATTGGTAACACTTTGTACTCTTATGACTTGTCAGTAAGAAATAAATATTAATGCTTCTAATTTTACATTTACTGCCAGTTCTCAAATCAAGGGCGTAGAACGGGAGAGAATAACTGGCAATAAACTCTCCGCCACTCTTTTTAATCGCCATGGGTTTTTTTTACACAACGTTTGTAAGGAGCTGCAACCATTAAAGCATGTTCCACATGACATCTTAAGTAATTAATATCTAATAATAACATAAATTAAAAACAAAGAGTTGTCCTCTATCAGCAGGAGGCATGGTGAAATAGGAGCACGCACTTACATTCTCGTGGGAACAACACGCAAATTTCTTCAAAATGTCATGTAGAGTTAATAAGGTAAATAAATATAAAAAAATATTTATACGTGACGTGGCTTTCTCTGGAGAATAAAATAAAACAAAAATGTCAAAGGATAATCTTATATATAAAATTCTCGTGTCGCGGTGTTTGTGGTTAAACTCCGCCGAAACGGCTCCACCGATTCTCATGAAATTTTGTGTGCATATTGGGTGTCTGAGAATCGGAGAATGTTAAATGTTATGGTACCCCATGATATATTTTTTTATTTTTAGTTTATTTTTCTGTGTTTTTTTTATGATACAGCGTTAAAAATACATACAACCCCTAACTTTCACCCCTCTACGATCAACCTCTATTTTTTTATTATAAATGATATACTGTATGGCAAAACGACGTTTGCCCGGTCAGCTAGTTTAAGTATAAATGTTAAAGTTATGGAAGTCTGAAGTTCCGCTTCACGCAATTATTAGTGGAACGGCAACGATCTATTGAGACTGAGACGAAACTAGGCGTGTTTTGCAGGATCTATATCCTGCAAAAACTATATATATATATATCTTAATATATATAAATTACGTGTCACGTTGTTAGTCCGCTATGGACTCCTAAACTACCGAACCGATATTAATCAAATTTGCACACCGTGTGTAGTTTGATCCAACTTAAAAGATAGGATAGCTTACATCTCAATTTATACTCGCAATATTATTTTACTGCAAAATATTTGTTTATCATTTGATAGTCACAATTCTAACAGATGGCGCTGTGTTGAAAGTACCAACGTTTCACATAAGCTACAATTTAATGGCATAACCACCAAAAAAAACATGGTGGATTGGTATTCTCCTGCTGTTTCTCTTGAATAGTTTACTACTATGTAATATAACAAAAGTCTTAGCCACAGCAACGCTTGGCCGAGTCTACTAGTATTTATATATATATCTATATATACAAAAGCCTCCTCCGCTTTGAATAGTCAATGGCGGATCTAAGGGAAGCTTTTGTTATTCTGTTTTTGTTTTCACAACATTTACACGTGGTAGAAGTGAAACCTTCAAAACTTTTGGTTTCAAGATAATGAGACGAATGTAATTTTAATTTTTACGTTTTTTTGTATGGTTCTGGCACGGTTTGTGCATTAGCCAGCGTCAAGTATGAGATTTTTATAATTCGTGCTTTTTTGCCTTATAAATTCGATCATGTCCTCCATGTACGGTTTAGGCACTCGCCCGGTACCGCACAACCCTCCCAAAGGCCGAGAACAAATTTAAATTAAATTAAAACTTGCCCTGGAACCGGGAATCGAACCCGGTACCCCTCACCTAGCTGCCACTTAATAAGACCGCTAGGCTATGAGGCCCCAAATTTTTACGTTTAATGTCAATTATTAATTTTGATAAAAACTACAATGATTAAAAAAGTTTTTATAATTAGTAATATGTAAATTTGACTTTTTTTCACTATCTAAATTCTGTACAATATGTTTTTTTTTTAATTTAGTATAAAGTTTGAAAAATTCTCATTATTTCGTTTTCTCTCACTCTTCTTTATTCTTTTTGATAATTAAACCTTTTTATTTTTGGATTTAAATGATAGGGAACTATTACAATTGAAATGGTTGTTTTAATGAGACCTTATTTATTGAAATCGGTAAGAAATGCTCTGCTGTGATCGGGAAGCTAGCGGCAGAGAATTTTACGATTAAAAAAAAAAAAGGGTGCGTGTACTTATGTACGCGTGTAAGACGACTCATTGGTCTAGTGGTTAGTACCCCTGACTGCGAATCCATGGGTCCTTGCTTCGATCCCCGGCTGAGACGAACATCGATGTGATGAGCATTTGGTGTTGTGCTTAGGTCTTGGGTGTTTAAATATGTATTTATATGTCTATCTATCTATAATATGTATGTATATCCGTTGCCTAGTACCCATAACACAAGCTTCACCAGCTTAGCATGGGACTAGGTCAATTGGTGTGAATTGTCTTTTAAAAAAAAAAAAGAAGTTATACTTCTTTGGCATTATTAATAATACATACGGATAGCTAACCTCAATTGTATTAACTTCATTCTGTTAATTTTGTGTCACGGTGCGCGCGCATCGTAAAATTTCACTCTCATCAATTTTTCATAACGCGCCTAAAGAAGTATAACTTCAAAAATCTCGACTTCAAAAGTCCAGAACTCTTTCTAAAAACTATCAGGAACTATAGAACTATTGAGTGTGCTGCCAGAACTCTATTTTTTTATGCTCTGCTGGTAACTGCTCTGCTAACTTCACAGACACATGGGCTAAACTTACCTATAAACGTCCATATTTTCCAAGTCGATTTCGTTGCTGTCCATGCATTCCGACAATTTCACACAATGTCCCTCTTTCTGTTCATCGGTGTAACAATCCGTGGGTCTTCTATCTGGCCGGCTGCTGGCTGTCAAAGATGATAAATATTTAAGGTAGAGTAAAAATATACATACAAAATTTGGTTTTTAGCAAACCGATGAACGCACTAATTCAGGCCAGCTTTCTCGCTAGTTCGCAAAGGGAAATGGCTAGAGTCTGGCTAATGAAAGAAGTATCCCTAAAAGTTTGATATATTTCGTGGATTAAACTTATTTGATACTAGTACTATATAAGGGCGAGGCCCAACTGCTGCGTCGACGCATCGGATCGACGCATTATATGCCACATCAGCGTTGCGTCGACGCACGCCGTCGCACCTGCGTCTCAACCTTTGCAATGGACAGAAACAAACGTGTTCTTTTGTTGATTTTATTACGCCACCGCTGAATTAAACTTAGAAACCACAGAAGATTCTGGATATCTCCTCTGATAGCATTAAGAAATAGTGATCACCCTTCCCCCTACTTCGTCTCTTGTCCGTCGATCCGTTGAAACGTCGCGCGCGACGACGCAACGGTGTAATGGGGCATGTATAAAAATTTATGTCGTCTCCCAAGATAATATTTACGTTTGTGGTTTAATTATATTAAATACTTTGTTTGTCTGTCTATAATTATTAATTGCCGCCGAAGACACGTCCGTTCCTCTAAATAAGCATAGCGAGCTCGAACATTTTATTTGGTCAGAATTGACGTTTACTAAATAAAATACGTTGAAACATGAAGATTCTCAGCTGTATGTATGACGTCATCGTAATTTGTAGATACAAATTCACGAATTATAAAAAAACGAGGATTCTATTAGGTACTAACTTGTAGTTAAAAAGGATTCAAGCCATTTATTTGGGCTCAGGAAATTGTTATTCTTCCCTTGACACCCCCACACCAGCAAGCACACCACCAAAATAGACCTGCGAAAATACAAATTTTTTGACACATGAAAGAAGTCTGGAGTATTAATGACATGCATTGTTAATAATAATAATAACAATTTAAAGAATACACTTTTTTACCGGATTGAAGTTATGTATTATTAAAAATTTATAATTTTTTTTTTCCCGACGTTTCGCGTGCTTTACAGCGTGCGTGGTCACGGTGACTGAAGACAAAAGGTGTTGAATGTCAAAATGTATCACAGCTGTAGAAAAAGTTGTATTATCTGTATTTATTTCCCCGGAGTTGGTATCGACTAAAAGATGGAGGGTTTTGGCAGAAATGACTCACGGTGTCCTCTATTTTCGCGGATTGTTTATCTTGAGATTTTAATTTGGATATTATTTGATCTTCTATCCGATAAAAAAGTGTTTTCTTTAAATGTGTAAAAGTTATATTAATAAAAGACAATAATAATAATAATTCTTTATTTTCTCCCATTTAATATTTGAAATAAACAGTACGATTACAATTAAGCAGGTATTGGGAGAGTGGTTTCCAAACTAGGTAAGAACCTGTGATATGGAAGACCAGGCTTCCATTTTTTTTTTTATAAAGACAATTCACACCAATTGACCTAGTCCCATGCTAAGCTGGTGAAGCTTGTGTTATGGGTACTAGGCAACGGATATACATACATATTTAAACACCCAAGACCTAAGCACAACACCAAATGCTCATCACATCGATGTTCGTCTCAGCCGGGGATCGAACCTGGGACCCATGGATTCGCAGTCAGGGGTACTAACCACTAGACCAATGAGTCGTCCATTACACAACAGAGTCATACTGAGTCATAACAAAAAAAAATATGTGTGTACACGTAAAAAGTGGAACTTCTTTATGACCTTATTTTTCGTAAAATCATCTACTATATACAACTTTACAGAAATTGGTTAAATAAAGTTAACTTAGATAAAGTTTAACAAAAGGCTTTTACTATCATAGACATGAATACAAATACAATTATTTAATTTTACCTTATTACTACTAAGATTATTACAGAATTTCATTAATTGTATTAGAATTATTAATGGCTTCGAATCTCTTCGAATCAAAAAGATGGCGCGTAACCGAAAAATGTGACGGTAATTTTTTTTCCAACGCCGATAAAGAAGTTTCACTTGAAAAAATTTACCTTTTAGTGGGTCTGACTCCCGTATGCAACACGATTGATATACGAAAGTCATACTTAGCGCAGTCTCAACTTAGCTTAAGCTTACGCTTTCGCAAAAAAAAAAAAAAACATTCAAAGGTAGGTAGATCACCTACTAGAGTTTCTAAAAATCGACTTAACTTTGAGAAATATTCTGTTAATTATTATTTGACATTAATTTGATAATGTGATGATGTAGTGATACAATAATGCTACTCTATAATTTTGAATAGTAATAATAAACATTATTCATAAGTAAATCAAATATAAAAAGCATTGCGATACCTATTCGTTAAGCAAATCACCAGCTCTGGGGTCACCGGTACTATCTACCAGGGGCTAAATTATTATTATAAAACCCAAAAAGTTTTTAAACATTTGAAATTGGGTCTACCGAGAAAAACGTTCTATGAATATCGTGATTATCTTAATAAATAATAAATCGTTTATTTGCCCCACTATCTGGGAAATTACCAACCGTCAAAAACCGTGTAGTGCATTCATAAAATTTATATTAATAACAAAAATATATAATAACGATAACAATGAAAGTAATAATTCTATTACAATTAATGTATTATTTGTTTTCATGTATATAATAATAAAAGCCTTTTGTTAAACTTTATCTAATTTAACTTTATTTAACCAATTTCTAATAAAAAAAATAAAAATTCCATGTATCGGCCACTGTACGTGTCAAGTGAAAAAGTACCCAAAATGCCTTAAAACATATAGTAGTAGTAAACATATGCAGTATATAATATTGTTAATGCAATTGTCTATATATATTTTATAATTAAAATAATAAAACTATGCATCGGTCAATGGATGTCAGTAAAAAAATAATTTGAATAATTCCTTCACTTCATGCTAATGAACTTGAAGCGCTAATAAATTCCCAAATTATTGTACTTTATATATTTCAATGGCAAAATTTACAACAAATAATAGTAATTAATATTAATAGATCCATTTTCATAGAAATAATAATAAATACTCACTTCATTCTTCACACAATTGCTCTGTCCAGAAGTCTATTATAAACTAAAATAATCAACAAACATTATAAAATAAGGAAAGCTGGTTATTAGATATGGGTTATTGTAGTGACGTCATCTGTCGATAAATTTAGTACAGTCAAACCTGGCTAAGCGAGAGTTCAAGTGACCACAATATCATTCTCGCTTATAGAGGTTTCTCACTAACCCGAGTTTCTCGCTAATGCAGGTACATGGGTAGCGTTTCTCTCTAATAGAGGTACGCAGCACCAATAACAAGTCACAGCGAGTACGAATGTAGTAATATGTAATATGATACAATTATGTGGATAATGTTCTCAACATATATTATGTACATAAATATTTTATTTTATTTAGAACTTATTTACACTTAAAAAATAAATTAATTTGGTTTGGGTTTTTGTATTTTGAATGTTTTTCTCTAACTCATAAATTTCGTCGAATATTAATTGTATTTTTATTGTAGCTATAGTTCCTCCTTAATAATATTTAAAAAAAAACTCGACTGTCGCTTATAGAGGTATATTTAAATAGCAGTCTCACTTACGGAGGCTCATGAGGGAAAAACTACTCTCTCTTAAAGAGGTTTCTGTTTCTCGCTAATAGAGGTTTTGGGAGCTTAAAATGACGGGTCCCGGCAATAGCCGTAGAGTTATAGAGTAATAACTCTCACTTATAGAGTTTTGTCACTTATCCAGTTCTCACTTACCAAGGTTTGACTGTATTTTGGGATGATAACACACATGAAAGTGTTAAAGCAACCCTGAGGTCGTGCGTTTGAATCACAGCTGGGCAAATTTTCTTTTAGCGCAATTAACACTTGGTGAAAAACGTCGTGATACTGGCATGTCTTAAGCCCCAACATTTACGTGAACCTATAAATAAAATAAATCAATGGCGCTACAACCTCTTTAGGTCTTGGCCTCAGATTTCTAAATCTGTTTCATGATCATTTTGGAGGAGGTGATCAGCCTCCAGTGCCTGACACACGCCGTCGATTTTTTGGGTCTAAGACATGTCGGTTTCCTCACGATGTTTTCCTTCACCGTTCGAACAAATGTTAAATGCGCACATAGAAAGAAAGTCCATTGGTGCACAGCCGGGGATCAAACCTACGACCTCAGGGATGAGAGTCGCACGCTGAAGGCACTAGGCCAACACTGCTCTGACGTTAACCTATACAATAAAAGAGAACTATAAAAGAGTAAGCAAGAGAGATTAGAACTTCGACCAAGAATATGTTTAGCTATACTTATATAATGATTAGTGATAATATAATTAAGCAATATGTAATTTTATATGCAGCATCTTTTACTATATAACACTTCTTTTACCATGCGGGGAATGTGAGGCTGCGTCAGAGGCCTCTATACTAAGATAGTAATAATAATAATATTAATGATGATGATAATAATAATAATCTTATTATATATAAATTACGTGTCACGTTGTTTGTCCGCTATGGACTCCTAAACTACCGAACCGATTTCATTCAAATTTGCACACCGTGTGCAGTTTGATCCAACTTAAAAGATAGGATAGCTTACATTTCAATTTATACCCGCAATATTATTTTATTGCAAAATATTTGTTTATTATTTGATAGTCACATTTGTAACAGATGGCGCTATGTTGAAAGTACCCACGTTTCACATAAGCTACAATTTAATGGCATTACCACCAAAAAAGCATGGTGGTCTCCATGACTGTTCTCCTACCGTTTCCCTTGAATAGGTTACTACTATGTAATATAACTAAAACTTTAGCCACAGCAACGCTTGGCCGGTTTTGCTAGTAATAATAATAATGATAATAATTTATTTATTGCAAGAATATGGTACAAAAATGTGTGAGGTGGTACAATCGTAAGTTCGCATATTCTAACACACAATGGCGCGCAAATTAGTTTTTAAAGGAATTTTACATTACTAGTCAAATGAAATCGTTATTTCTTATATTATTTGTATCTTACATAAATATAATAGTAGTATATATTTATATATATATAGCTTATTTATTTACGACAAAAAAAAATTGCCAGCATTGGCCCCTAAATTTTCTATATGTTATGATGACAATGCGTATATATAAATAGGTTGTAAGTAGAACCGATAACAAAATATTATGTTTTTAGTTTTGGCTGTGGTTTTGGATGTTGTTTTGGCGGTTTGCGATATTTTCCTTCCTGTAAGCATTACGCATTTAGAAAGAGAACATTTGTGCATTTCGAACCCACGATTAGCTATAAGAGCTTCACGATTGATCACCTTTCCTACTTATAAAGGTGTTTAAATTAGTTAAATAATATTACACAGAGATACACGCATTTATAAATAAACTACCTGGCCTGGCGAACATCGTACCGCCTAACAGTCGATTCTTTATTTTTTTTAAATACTTATTCTGCTATTCGGGACACCGGTCTAGCTAAGATAAAAAAAAGAAAGTTGATAAGACAACAAATACATTATTTGAGAAACTTTTTTTTGCAAAGTTTTAAAAATTTATTTTTGTGTTGTCTTGTGTTTTTTTAACATCATTGTTTTGTTAGATACGTGTTATCAGATTTGAGGTGAATTAACTTTCTGGGCCGACCCCAGTTAGATAATGCCCAATTAGTTGAACATTTATCAAGTCAACCATTTTTTGAAGTGAAACTTCTTTATCGGGGTTGGAAAAAAATGTAGTGTAACATTTTTTCGTTACGCGTCACATTTTTCGGTTAAGCGCCATGTTGCTTTTTGAAGTCAAACTTCTTTGTCGGCGTTAGAATGAATTTTATATCGACGTATGGGAGAAATTTTGTAGCAAATCGTCACGTTTTTTGGTTACGCGCCATCTTTTTCTTGTCCCTACCACGGT